ACAGAATAACTTGGATGGCAGATCTATACCATAGCTATGTGTCCAGGTGTCTACCAACACAAAAACACACAACAAGAACTAAACGAACTACCCATACTTCTGATTTGTAGGGTAATTCTAACCCAACCAAACTGGTGACAGAATAAACCGATTACACAAACATTTCCCTTTCGAAGCCTGCGGATTCGAACCATGGGCAACTGGGCAATTATGTGCCTTAAATAAATATGCGTTTTACACGAAGGTGTAAGTTTGGTCCCTTCGGGTGAAAACTGGCGATAATGTTAGAGAAATAAAGTCGGTAACTTTTTTCATCGCAAATCTGGTATTGCTAGTAACTCCTGCCTGTGAAGCGGGATTCTGTATAAAGAAGCTTCAACCACACGTCTGAATTGTTACCCCTTAAAAATTCTGCGTTGCGTTTATGGAATGGAAATTGATCGAAAATGACATCATGCCTTGAATAAGCTGCGTTAACATCAAAATTCTGTTTCTCAGCCGGAACTCAACAATGAAAACGTCACTATCGCCGAACATTCAGGAAGGCAATGCCACTCAGTCTCTCTCTAAACCAATTAGACAGGAAGATCTCAAAATATGTACGTACGCATTACTAAAAACGACTATAAGAGGCCCAAATGAAATGCTGAGGGAAATGGAGAACGCTGCACAAAAGGGTTTTACATAAGACCCTGGGCTCCAGAGTTCGTTCCTTCAAATTTACAACAGTTCCAATACCTATATATGCACAGCGTAACTTTGGCCCTGTTGCAAATATCGGCCTAGTACTACACATTCTTATACACACATAGGGGCACGCGGTAGCGTAGTTGGTTCAGGGGCTATGCTACAAGCCGGAAGGTCCCGATGAGGTCATCGGATTTTTTTCAATTAACCTAATCCTTCTGGCCACACTATGGCCCTGGGGTCGACTCAGCCTCTAACAGAAATGAGTACCAGGAATTACCGTATTTACGCCTGTATAGGCCGCGTGCGTGTATAGGCCGCAGCACAATTTTTAGACAGAAATTATAGAAAAAATAATTTTCTTGGAATATTATTTCAGGAGTATTACACCCTGTATTACTAATTATGAATATATATTTTTTTTAATGAAGTGTGATTTCGAATATTTCGAATATAAGCCGCACCCCAGTTTTCCTCTTGAATTTTTGGCAAAAAATGTGCGGCCTATACATGCGTAAATACGGTAATTAACTACTTTTCCTGGGGAGTAAAGCGCGGCCGGCGCGTAAGACTGACAACCTTACCGCCATCTTTGAGCCGACTGTCTAGATAATGTGGGACCCTCAACGTCCCACAACCCTTTGGGCCTTCACGGCCTGGTAGAGGGATAGCTTTACATTTTTATATATACACACATTATAGTGCTTCACCGCCTCAGAAATTTCCCTAGGCTATCCAATACTCAATCCTCGCCTTTTAAGATTATTCAGGCATTCCTGTTACTGGCATGAGGAAAGCAATACCCTTAACAGGACTGTGAACAGGAGTGCTCGCCGCAATGAAAAATAGAGATATCAACACGCCAGTAGGGATTCAAACCTATGACCTGGTCGCCAAAGCAGCAAGCACCATGCTTCACCGGTTATTCTCACCGCGGCTGCCTTGCATTCGTCGGGCGAATATGAAATGTGTGGCTCAAAGCATCTATCTAGCCTTTGAATTGTAGTCTGGTACGAACACCCGGGGTTCAATTGCGGCGGACCAATTACAATCACCTTCTGCTCCTCTGCACAGAATTCGGCTTATCCTTCGACATTGAAGATGGAGAAAAGACGCTCCTCCGAAACAGTAGTCGACTGTCAACGGACTACACGGCGTTATATCCTGCGAGCACCTCAAATTCTACCTACAAACGTGGTTATATTATTTACGTCGATATCGCCTATCCATCCAAACATTTAACGACAACCCCCCGAAAGGAAACATGTGGCCACGTGACTTAAATTTCGTGTTCTTTGAATGTGTTCATAATGTGGGGTAATGAAATCTAAAATGCACAGAAACAACACAATGCAAAATTTCGCTAATACAATTCGCGCAAACTGCGAGAGGCCATTCTTAATGAAGAGAAAAACTTCAACTAGTCAGTGTTCGAATCCAAAGGATCGATTACACCAAAATGGTGTTACTTGGGGCCGATGACATTTCATATGGAGACACTGGTGGGGATGAAAGCAAAGGTTAATGCCAACATACACAAACCCAATTCACTTAGCGGATCATTTAGCCCGGGCTCCCTATACGTGGCAAGAATAAGTCGTAACTGGCATGGCTGTACATACTCAATGCCTCATTCGAATCTCATTGTTGACAGCAAGGCAACAGAGACAAATTTTATGTTTCAAAATGTGGGTCTCTTCGTTGTTACCTACGTTCGGTAAAAATCACGGCTATTTTACGTGACATGGTTTCATGATTGTTCGTTTTTAAAAGAAAACGCCGTTCAAGCGTTATGCGAGGATTTTGACGCGGGCGGAGTAACGAAATATCCGTAGAAAATCGGCTTTCGCACACTAAAGAGAATAACAGACTTTTCAACAACATCACTTCGGCACTTTTCATGGGGAGAATACTTTAATGAAAATACAGATGACTAGTAAGTTCAAAATTTTCTATTTATGAAAGTATAGTATTTAACACCAAAATATTAATATCTCTGATTACATGATAGAGAACTGCTCAAGTACTTTCGAGTACAAGTGATAACATTTCAAATTCCTGTGGCTGTGTTGTACAATGTCCACTGGAACCAATTCCTAATCTAAATGCTAATATTGCAACATAGCCAACATACGATTTCTGAAAACAGTCTTGTTATTCTCACAGAATGAAACATCTTGAAAAGTCATGCACACGTTCAATCGAATCCGATCGGCATACAACCGTTTTTGACGCTTACCTGTAAACAGTCAAATTTACTACAATCTGTATGTAATTAAAGTCGGTAATTATTAAAATTCACAATAATTAGCACATCTTGCGATCGCCCCCGCAACATTCGGAAGTCCTAGGTCCACTGAGATTAATCAATACGTACAGCCCGGGGTGTGACGTCATCGTCACGTGAGACCACTATATACATGCATACACACTGAGGTGTATGTGTAAATTGTTGCGGGAAGTTATACAATTCGTTGCATCATTCGCCCTGCTACAAAAGAACTAAATCTGAGTTCGGATTATACACTATGCATGTCTGATCAGAGTTATGTAAGCCACGCCAGTCAAAAACACTGACTATAAACAATGACTATAAAGACTAATTCTGACAACCTGAGTGTTCGTGTGTTCGGAAATAATTTGCTGTGACGCTACGAAAAAGTGAGGGTAAACTGGGGAAACAGAAAGAGAACGATGATTTATTGTATACTACATACATCTGAAGGCCGAGATCACGAATGGTGGAGGTATACCTCCACCCCCGCACGCTTTCATGATGTGGTGCTCAATTAAGCACAGTTACAACTTTGTTTTTTACGCTTATCTTAAACAACTGGTTTACAATTGTGTTTTTTCCTTTAGTTTTCCTCATCCTTCTGCATATCAAAGAATTCTTACAGAACCAAATAAAACACATTATCCATTAAAATTCGTGTCTATTTGACGCAAAATGTAAGTATCGCTTACAATGTTAACATCTACTCTACAAAACCCCAATCGATTAAAGCATCAACACACTCTCATACTTTATGTAAAACTGTATATTCTAAAGGGTTCTAATGATGGTGTATAATATTCAGAATTAATGCGTTTTTGGACTCCGTCCACTGCCCGGTATTCTAAAAACCAGACAAAGCAACGTTTCGGAATCTTGATCTGTTTCCGTCCTTTGCTAAGGGGGAGAGATACCTAGTCTGTTGGGTGAGAAAGAGCTAACCTCAATCAGTAATCCAGTGACTGCAGTTAGCTTTTTTAACAGGCCCAACAGAGTAGGTGTCCCCCCCCCCCGCCCCTACCTGTGGTCGGAATCAGATCCAGTTTCCGAAACGCTGAGTTCTCTGGTATTTTGGGTACCGGACGATCGACAAAGTTCAAAACTCCAGTAATTCTGAGTAGACTGTAATTTTTAAACAAATATCAGCCAACATGCCACAACCTTGAGACCCGGGGGACTGCACTGTACCCCTAATGGGCAGCAACAGTGAAGGCAATAGTAAAAACACACAAACATTCGACTATTTGACAAGATATAATTGTGTCCTATCAACATTACAACCCTACGATTAAACTTCACTGAGTGCTAGCAATGCACCCTTGATCGATTAATATAGCATAAAATTTAAACTGAACACTGGGAATTTTAAACAATCTATACCCATTCCTTCACTCATATATAACTGGTGCCGCGGTCAAGAATACGTGGATCTATTTATCCGCTCCCCCATACGCCTTCATGGTGCAGTACTTAGCTAAGCACAAGGGGAACTTTACCTTCATATCTATTTCACCTGGGTTTCCTGCGGGCCAGAGATACACAAGATATTTGACTTAACGTGGTAAAACGAAAATGCCCGTTGTTTATTCACGAATATCGGACTTACGGGGTGCTAATTCTCCAGTACTCCTAAGATTTAATTGTTTAATGCTGCGAGCAGGAGCACGGGAAAAACGCTTAAAAGGGAACTGAATCAGAATTAACATAATGTAAACACCTCACGCTGGTGCACTGAAATACTGACATTAATACACGTGGTATTCTTTCCAGTCCTACACAAAACCCTGTACACATAATACCTACAAATCCTTGTAAATGACCTGATTTCACTTTCATTCATCATCCTCTACGAAGGCGGTCTTTCCATATTCTTACTGCCAATCACATCCTTGAACGTTTGTTAATGGTTTAAATCTTCAGCGGGTCGAGACTTCGGTATTAGATACAAATGAATCGACACTGCAAGCCCATGCAAATACAGAAAATTCCAGCGAATAGCACACATTTAAAAAGATATGGCTTAATAATAATTACATACCTTGATAATGTTATTCACAAAATGTTGAAATTCACACTACTTTTACTATCATACACTTCACAAGTAATCGCCGATTACATGCACATATGCCTGACGAACCACCAACAACAAACATGGCGACCCAAGCTCCAGAAACCGCGAAAAGCAGCGAACTCTACTAAATTCATCACTAGGCCACTTTCTCCAGCGGCACACTATATTTAGGCGAATGAGACGAACAACGTCCAGGATTTTCTGAAGTAGAGCACTAGGGAAAGATAAAACAACACTGTGACAATTTCTCAACAACTTAGAACAAACCTGACTACGCATAACACCCGCGCCATCTATCGGTACTAGCAGAAAGTTTCCACAGTTAGTTGCACAATTAAAAGAAATGTTTTGTTTCTTTATAGCGTAAATACAGTTTTCATTCTGGTGACATTTTATAAAATTATAATCTATCTTTTATTCTAGAGAGATATTTGGTTTATCAACAATTTGCAAGATACTAGTTTAAATTTGGTCCACCAGATGTTCCTACATTAGATAAAAGATCGATTATGATATCGAGTCTCGATCTCGACTCACCAACCACAATGATCGACAATATAAGTCTGTGCCGTATTTCGCATAAAGGACGAAGACGGATGCTAGTACTAAATAAGTTTGATGTCACAGTCGACGGAATTAATTAACCTTTTATAATAATGAATACGTGTTTTTAATCTACTACGAGATGTTTAAATTTATGTAGGCATTTGCCATTGGGCAGATGATAGCATAGTTGGTTGAGGCACTATGCTTCAAGCCCCGATAAGGTTATTGGGTTCTTTTTCAATTGACATAATCCTTCCAGCCGCACCATGGGCCTGGGGGTCCACTCAGTCTTGTAACAGAAATGAGTACCAGGAATATGCTTGGGGGTAAGGGGCGGCTGGCGCATAGGGCTGGCAACCTTGCCGCAATCTATGAGCAGATTGTCTAGAAAATTTGGGAACCTCGACATATCTCACAACCCTATGGGCCTCCATGGCCTGTTACATGGATACCTTTACTTACTTACACATTTCCTATTACAGCATAATATAAAACAGTTTTGTCTATGTTACATCCTCATGAGGCCACCCATGCATCTAGATTTTGTTTTGGATGATGGTGTTCTCACATTGGAAGCAACATTCCAGGTCCATGCAGTATTTTGTCTGGGCACAATGAGCATATCAGTTTCATATGATCAAAGACAAGCCAGTCATGGCACAGCATCAACCTGGGCCACTGCATCCACCAACTACAATATCCTGTTCACCAAATCCTGATACATGGACATCATTAGGGAGGTAATTGCTGACACACATGAAAGAGGAGGGCAAGTCATCTATATACTAAAGGGCCAGAACATCCCTCCTAAGGATATCCTGTTACTTGATTTCTCCAACATTCTTATAAGAGAATATAATAAGTACCCTTTTTTGGGACCTCCTTTGTTCTCTTCCTACCCTTCTTATCTTCCATATCCTCATGATTTTCTTTCTCCCATCACCTACCCTGTTACACTTCTTCCTGACTTGTCCACCTTCCTTCTGCCTATGATTTTTTCCACCTTCACAAAAAAATCGTCTTTTCGGGTTCACTGACTCACAGCTCTGTCCCTAACTTCCCTCTCCAATGTCACACAATGCTTTCCCTGCTTGGATCACTTCTTCAATCCTGAAGAGAAATGAAGGAGGGTCTTCTGAAATGCTGGTACCTACCTATCACTACATGATATCACATGCCAAAAGACAATCACAAAGGGATATACAAAGTCATAGGGATATAATCAATGATTAACAAAAGAAAAACAACTCCTTTAATATGAACAAAATGGTACATTATCGACGATCCGCTTTGCCAATACCACGTTTTCCAGCAAACAAATGTTTCGGCATCTTAGTGCCAATGAACCTATCAGCTTCTCCCTTGAGACCCTTCTTCCCAACCTTCTTTGAAATTGCTTTGTGGGCAACCTTCTTCAACTTCTTTTTCATCTGTGGACAGAAACATGGAAATCAAGTCATTTATGTTGGAATAAGATCAGGATATGAAACAAGCCACATCTACTGCCAAGAATGCACCTAACCTTTGTACTGCAATATTAATACAGTTGTGACAGGAAACATTCAGGTCACAAAATGTGGGCTGACCACTGAGCTACAGTATGTCTTAAATAGGAACACAATTTATAGTACGGGCACATAACAGTTCATCTCTAAAATTCTTCTTTCATAACTGATGTTATAAATTTCATTCTTTTTTTGTATTACATCTTTGGAGCACAGAACTTTAACTGATCACAAACTCAACTGGAAACACTGTGCTATGTGTGGCTGCAATATATTAATTCTAACACATGTTAATAAGAAAGTTCAAAAAGGACTTCTTGAAAATGGTTTGTACAAAGATGCAGATGTTCAGAACTTTTATATCTTTCATTTCATCAGCTATTCACAGGCTTCTCTGAATTTCTGGCATTCTTACAAAGAGAGAGAAAGAAAAGCCTTATGTGGAGATAAGATCTGTCCTCTGTTCTTCTGTGATCCAATATCAGTGCTCAAGTCATTTATAAAATTTTCTCAAGATTCAGTATGGGAAACTTTTACTATAATTGTTGGGCAATACTGATTTTCAGCCACTGTTCCATGGCAAAGCCTGGTTTATGTAACACCAAAAATGAACTTTTTCACATATGCTATAAATCATATTGCTGCTATTACTGAAATTCAGTATCAAAGACTTCCACTAGAAGTTGCTGAGAAAGTAACTTTAATTTTTAACCACACTGATCCACAACAAAGCCTAGTTTGCTTGTATAAGACCATGAACAGAATTTTTCATGTATCACATAAATCCTCGCACTGCTCTTGTTGAAATCTGATCTGGGAGACTTCCACAAATTTTCATTTCATTATTTCTATTCCTAAGCAAGTGTAATGAACTTCTACAAACACCATTAGCAATTCAGTGTAGTATATTATGGAGTACTTCAAATCTTGTTATTTTAGTTTATTTTGCTTTTGAGATACTGTACTCATACATATATGGAGGTGGTCATGTCCACCTACCTGCATCTTTCATTTTCAAAACTACAGCTGAATTTCGATGACGGTGATGGGCTATACTAAAAGCTGTCAGGAAAAATTAATTCTTATTTGTACAGCTCCAATATAACTCCTACTTTCTTTAATTGCAAAATGAACTCATTGTACAAAAAAAGTTGTGTATGCTATTAAATATTATTGTAAAATCTTTTCATATTAATATTTCACAAAAGACAAAAACATCTTCTGACACTACCCCTCATGTGTCTATAGTGCGACTAGCTTTATACTCACAAGCACGAGTGCGCACACTTGAACGTATGCCACATAGCATCAGGCTGACCGTCAGTAACATGAACTTCCTAATGATCCAGAAGTTATTACAGGGAAAAGAGAGAAACACAAAAAATTTACTTTCTACTGTGTGGAATAACTTCCATAGAAGTTGATTTCATGCTGACTTCCCGTCTCCTGGCTTGGGAGTGAATGTCAAACAAAGCTGTTCTGTAAGAATCACACAAGTGTTTTACCTACATTTTCTCTTTCAAATTCCTCAGTCACTGAAGGCAGACACTGAAGTACAGTAACCTTTGGAATCAAAGATAAGAAAGCCAGTGCAAGCCAATATACTGCAAAGCACCTTCACGGATTCAGCATTACTGGGTTTTTGGACTTTGTCTATCATCTGGTATTCTAAAAAAAACATGAGAGAACATGTCTTGGAAACTGGATCTGTTTCCATCGTCAGGTGAGGGGTGAGGGACACCAGCTTCAACGATTATTTGCTTCTAACTATTTCTCCTGAGTTGTATATACTGAATCATGACTGTGCAATCAGGAAGAAAAAGTTGCCAATATTTAAGGAATTATCCTCATATTCAAAATAGAACTTGGATGCAAAACAGATACTTGGCAATGACAACCATTATTTGACTATACTTACAACACTGTCCTTGATGCCCATTTCATCTCTGGGGGGCCGTGACATACTCCTGGACTGACCTTCTGAATCAACTCGCATGCGCTTTGTTGGTGGACGAGACAAAGAGCGCACTCTGCGTCGAGTTTTGGTGAAGTGGGCCTGGTGGATAACAGAATGACACTGTTCATGGTAGGCCAACAAACAAACTAAAATACCTAAACTTTATCAACATGTTAATTAATGACCATGAAGGTTCAACAAATGTCAGCATAATTCACCAATCACATAAAACATCACTCACCAGACATAAAGTTTCACTAAAAGAGAAATTTATATGTGACATGTAATACTTTTCAATTTTTCAGTCACAGAGACAAATAATGATATCAGCAGCAGCAGCAGCAGAATCATTTTCCTCCTTCCCAGTATTAAATCCACCTGATCTGTTACAGGTACATTACTGAACACATTCATTTTTAGGTAATTTTGCACAAAATATAGAAGACAATATACTGAAACCTGATTTAGTGAATATTTTTCTGGACCCCACCAAAGCCCAATATAAACAATGTATTATTTCTCAATATTTAGTGAAACTGAATTTAGTAAATAACCATCATTTAACCCTTCCGCACCGACATCCGTGTGCTGCACCGACTCTTGCACCGACCTGCGCAGTGTTAGCTTTGAAGGACGTCGCTGACAAAACGAGGAAAGATATTCCAATTTTCTTTTCAGGAGTACATAGATTAAGGTTTCATCTTTCAATTGGTATATGAGTTATTTACTTTGGACGAATTTTTAGCACGGTATTTTTATTTTATATCATTAGTGTAATAGTTCGTACTTTGGTCTCATTGCGCCTAGATTGCATTGAAATTTTTCAAATTCTAAGTAAGGAAAATGTATAAAACTATATATCTTTCGACTCTATGGTCTTTGCTTGTCTATATGAGTCACTCATTGAAACCCCAGACGAAGGTTTTCCTTGAGTGGGTTGCTGTACAGTCTGCTGACACAATGAAGTAGTCAAACAAGAGGGACCTTTTTTCTTGGAACCAACTGCAACCTAAGAAAACAAACTTACGAATAATACAGAAATTTATGATGTCATAACACTTTCTTCTCTCAGTCGCGCCATAACCATGGCCTCTACAAGTAGGAAAGTTTTACAGGACAATGAACTAGACGAGCTCCTTGCTCACGACTTGGAAGTTAGTGAGTTCGAATATTCGGATAGTAGTGAAAACAGTGATAATGAAATTGAAGATCAGGCTGTAGTTGATGCTATCCAAGATCATAGTATTGAAGATGACGACGAAATAGTGGCGAGGGTTCCAGTGGCGGATTCAGACGAGTTATTTTTGGCAAAATATGGATAATTATGACGGCGTTCGCGAACGGTTTTCTGAAAATTCGGGGCCGAGAAATCAGTCTGTGAATGTGCTCGACATAGTACAGACATTTCTATTATTTTTTACTGAGGATTTTGTAAACAATATTGTTCAGGAAACAAACACTTATGCGCAACAATTCATATGTGGGAGGGTTTTTCCATTTAGATCTCCAGCTAGGCAGTGGGTACCAGTGACACTAAATGAAATGTATGTGGTCTTAGCCTTGTTCTTGCTGATGGGTATAGTCAATAAGCCAACTCTAAATTCATACTTTTCAACGAAAAGATTACTATACACTCCAGCATTTCCTGATGTAATTTCGAGAGACAGATTCCAGCTTATATGTAAATTTCTCCATTTCAATGACAATACTAAGAAAGATAATTACCTAGGACCTACAAGACTTTTCAAAATTTTTCCTGTCATTCAACATCTCAACGAAAAATTTCAGACACTCTTCTATCCTGGACAAAATATTTGTATTGATGAATCGCTTACACTATGGAAAGGGAGATTGGCATTCAAAATGTACTTGCCACTGAAAGCTTCAAAATTCGGCATAAAAACTTATGAACTCTGTGATTCCAAATCTGGGTATTTATGGTCATTTATTGTTTACACTGGCAGCGAAACCCAACTAAATTCTTCACTGATCAGAGAAAATACCAATAAAACAACATCTGTTGTTCTACATTTGGTCGAACCGCTCCTCCATAGAGGTCATACTCTATGGATGGATAATTATTACAATTCCCCCCAGTTAGCAAAATTATTAAAAAATCATGGCACTGACTGTGTTGGGACCCTTAGGTTGAACAGAAAGGGTGTCCCAACAACTGTAAAAAACACAAAGTTGAGAAAGGGCGAGATCATAGCTCAGCACGCAGGTCCTATAACTGTTCTCAAGTGGCAAGACAAAAAACCAGTTTCCGTGATCTCTACATTTCACAATGCCGACACACAGACAGATATAAAGAGAAACAAAGAAATAAAAAAACCAAAAATTATAATTGATTATAATGAAATGATGGGTGGCGTTGATTTGAAAGATCAGCTTTTACAGTACTACAACGTGGAAAGAAAAAGACTTCATAAGTGGTACATGAAACTCTTCAGATGCCTTTTGAATGTGACAGTGGTAAATGGCATGATAATTTATAACAAGAATCAGGAAAGACTGACAGACCACTTAGCATTCAGAGTAAATCTGGTAGAAGGGTTGCTGTTGAAGTTTACGGACCAGGAGCAGGCAGCACGTAGAGTACAAGGTCGACGTCATTCATCAGATAACACCATCCCCCGGCTTCGTGAAAGACATTTTATTAGTAAAATTCCCCCATCAGGAAAAAAGGCTAGACCACAAAGGCGATGTGTAGCGTGTACAAAAAACAAAAGAAGAAAAGAAACCGTGTACTGGTGCAGTGATTGCGATGTTGGGCCATGTATTGACCAGTGTTTTCAGGATTACCACACCAAACTCAACTTTTAGCAGTTCGAGTGAGTAAAAAAATATTATTTATCATAATTATATTGAAAAATATATATATATA